TAATAATTTTTATGCAGTTTTTTATGCTTTTTTTTTGCATTTTGCAACTTATGCAATGCAAAAATGCATATTTTCAAGGGGTTGCGTGTGTCTGTGTGTTCGTCTGTACTGATTTTTTCGATGCAACGACCGAAAAAAATTGTCGAAATTTTCACCAATGGATAGTTGCTAGTGGTGCTGTCACTTGGGGTACTTTCAGTGCCTCTGTCTCCTATAAAGATGGATCGTTGGAAGAGTTTGTGAATTTGGACTTAAGACTGACATAATTTTTTGTTAAAATTTCCTTGAAAATTCTTGTCTTCATGGAGACTGTTGATTGTAAATTTCAGATTGGTGATTTTGGATTATCACGGGAATTTGGTGATCCACTGAAACCGTATACACCGATTGTTGTTACACTGTGGTATAGATCGCCCGAATTGTTGCTTGGATTAAAGGTAAGTTTTTGGAAAATTCACATGTGTTGCTTTCCGTTGTTTCCAGTATCTCGAAGTTGATCTGAGCTGGTGGGTTGGGATGAAGGTTCTATGTTTTTGAAATGTTGCTAGACGCCGAACATGACTGTGCTGGCCCCTTTCTCTAGAGCCCTGTGTCTTCAATTTATACGACTTAATGGACCGAAACATTTCTTACCATTGTAATAAGGGGCTCTGTGCTCCTGAGATGTTGCCAGACGCCGAACATGACTGTGCTGGCCTCTCCCTCCAGAGCCCTGCGTCTTCAATTTATACGACTTAATGGACCGAAACATTTCTTACTATTGTAATAATTTCATTGAAATTTGCTGCTTTCACTAATTTCTTAATATTATTTTCTCTTCCATTCTCCTTGCTACTTCATAATACCTCCCTGTTATAATTATTTTTTTCTACCATTTATTCTGTAGCTCCTCTTACTCACCACTGCTAGCCAGTAGGCTAGCTCCAGCCGTTGGACCGGAAACACCTTTACATCGGCGATACGTATATTATTGGGCAGTTTTGCTATAGCATATACCGCGTTTTCTCGTCAGATTTGTAAATCTGAGAGGTATATTA